TGCTTGACAAAATTGACCCAAACATTAGCATTGTGGGTCAAATTGGCAGCCTTAAAAACCCTCAAATTATAATTTGCATGGGGCTCCCAAGTTGTGCCTGGTCTTGCTACTGCCTCACAAATTTTATTGAGCTTGATTTCAGAGGCAGTGTGCTTAAGAGTCTCAAAGGCAGTGTTGTAATGAGAGGTGAGACCCAAGACATTGTTTAGCGTTTCATCATCAAAAGACACACTAACTCCTCTAACCTTTATCATACAAGACTTGGAAGCAGCAACCTCAGCATAAAATTCTCGAATGAGCGAAAGATTATAAGAACTGTGTACCTTACAAAARCTCTGCCATCCCAGACTATTGATTACCTCCTTGATGAACTGGCATTCTTCCACACTCTTTTGATCAAAGCCCTTGTTAGGCCATGCAGTCTTGTCCTTGAATTTTTGAAATAAAGCTTTGGCTTTGACAGAGCTAAAACCTTCGAAAGGTAGCATGGATCGTTTAGTGATAGCAGGGGAGGGGGGAGTATGAACTGGTGAAGCAGGGCTGGATGAGGCAGGGTCTGATGAAGCAGGGTCTGGTTGCTCTTGACAGGTGGTCTCAGGGCTAAGTGGAGCAGGGGTGGATGAGGCATGAACTGGCGAAACAGGGACATTTGGATCCAAACAAGGCATTGCATGTTGAGATTGCCTAGTTACCCTCCTGGATGAAGTTGGCACAGCTGCTGCTTTGCCCTTGGCAGCAGCACTAAGCTTTCGCTTTTTGATAGCAGGCCCAGAGGTTTGTGGTGTTTTCTTAGCAGGCTTCTTCCCTAAGGCTTTTCTCTTTTTGGCTGAGGGCTTGGCAGCAGGGGGACAAGGTGGTGCTAAAGAGTCCAGAGCCTCTAACAGAACATCCATTGATGTCTGTTCTACTACAATGGGCTCCATGGGACCAGCTTCCAGAGGGGTAGGCTTTGAATTATCAATTCCCAATTTGGCCAAAATGCCATCAATAACAGTAAAATCATTATTTTGAGGAGTTCCATCAATAAACTCATCCACTGGGGCATGAGTTGTTTGATCATTCCAGGGAAGCAGATAAACCCTTCCCAGGCTCTCAACCACAGCAGGCTCAGACTCAGAATCAGATGACAAATAATCTTCAACAATAACATTGGGGTTAAAGATTACCTCGACTTCATGCTCAGACTCATCTAATGGGGGTTCGTTGAGGTCATTGATACAGGGCCTCTTGCTGCTTGCTTCACGAACAGGGGATGYCGGTGGTGTGGAAGTTGAAGGGACAGGCTGCTGTGGTGTACGAACCACTTCATCATCGCTCATAGACATCGAATCGCTATTTTCACTCAGCTCGATCAACTCAGGCGTAGTATTTGAAGGCAAAACAGTAGTCCGTCTGCGATTACTTCTTCGAACAGGGCCTCGAGGTTGAGGTCGGGTAGATGCTCGCTTGAGTCGGACCATTGTGGAAGA